TTGGGATTTTTTTTTTTTTTTTTTTTTTAATAGCTGGTTGGACTGGAAGCATGGAGTAACAATAAACAAAAAATACATAGATAAATTACCAAATGATTATAGAAAGCTCTTCTTCTGAAGTTCATTATATTACGAGAACAAATCATACTCAAGCTTGATAAAGAATGCCAAAGCGAGGCATGATTCTTTTGAATACCCCATCTTCTCACCAATCTAACCATTTTATCCATTGGTTTCTTTCGAACCAAATAGGGTTCCTTTACTGCACCACTCACAGCAACCTAGCTTTATTTTCCAGCCTCATACCATTTAGTAGTTGGAGAATATTTTCCTTTGATCTTCTATCAAGATCGAATAAATATTCAAAATCTTTCAGAGGCTAGCTATCGTAGCAACTAAGAAAAAAAAATGAGGTTGGTCTTCTCCTGCCTAAAAAACACAAATCAAAGGAGACAAATTCACGGAAGGCCACCAAATGCTGGAGATCAAATTTAGGATGTATGTAAGTTACGTTTCATTCCACTTCTTGATGTCTTAACCGTTTATGCTATGTCGATGCTTTTAGATAGAAGATTTGGAATTTTGATGTTCTTTTTTTTTTTTTTCTGACTCTCTAGGAGAAGAGAGTTCGTGTGCTTGAACATCCTTGTAGCTTTTCACTTACAAATGAAAAGTTTGTAACTTGTGATCCTTTTGAGTGCCCATCAAGCTCTTTTTGCATTATCTACATTGCTAACAAGTGAAGTGAAGAAGAGTTATATTGAAGATTTTCCTAAGTTCTATTCTCAAAAAAAGCCAGTCATGTTCCATGACGACAACTCATGTTTTTGAAGAAAGGCTTACCAGGTCTTGTGGTTTCCTCCTGTAAACAACCATCTCCTCCTCGGGTCTCCAGTCCCAACTTTTGCAACCTTCAATTCTTCTTTATGGATTTGTCTGACCCTTTATTCACCAGATGAGTCCTTCATTCTACAAAGATCCTTCATTTTCTCTTGGTTTACCTTTTGGTATTGATGTTTTGGATGCCAATTCAAAGGACAACGTGAGTAGTGTGGAGTCCATCTTGACTGCCATTAATAAGATCTCGAATGACTTTGTTGACAATTGCTTTTTAGAACTCTAGTTTCTTTATTTTAGGATTGTGATAACGGGTCTTCCCAGCATTTTTTTCTCAGTTCCAATCAAATTTGATCCTCTCATTGAAGTTTGTGGCCTTGAGTTACGTGAAATTTCTACCTTTGTTGATGGCATCCATGGTCAGGCTTAATATTAGTTATTGCTGTTTCCTGTAATCGGTACGGGGCGATGAAGTTGTTTCTTTCTCAAGGTTTTTGGATCAGGGCTTTTATGCTTGGGATTTTTTGTCTCTCAGCTTCACGCTCTTTGTTTGCCTCCTAGTTGTTCTCGATGTTGGGGTTTGGCTTCCTGATACTTTTTGTCTTTGGTTCCTCGTTCCTGCCTCGAAGTTCGATTGCTGTCGCTTTTTATTATTTGGTTTTCAGTGCTGTTTTGTTTGGCCGTGTTTCTAGCATTGTGTTCGGATTTCTTTGGCTTTCTTTATTTTCTTTTGGGATCACTTGTTTTCTTTGTTTTGTTCACTAGTTTTCTTTGTTTTGTTCACTAGTTTTCTTTGTTTTCTTTCTTTCTCTCACTTGTGGAGTTTGTATCCTTGAGTAATAGTCTATTTTCATTTCATCTATGAAAAATTTCATTTCTTGGTATAAAAAAAAAACGTTAGGGTGTTTTGTAGGCTCTTCTTTTGTTGTTTAGTTTGGGTTTAGTATGCTTTGGTTTTGTGGAAGTTATGTGGTCCTCCATGCCTAGTTGTTGAGCTTTGAGCGCGCATTGTATTTTTGGTTTTTAGTTGGGCTTTTTCTGTTCTATTGTTGGGAAGTTTATATCTTCCATTGTAATTTCTTGTTTGTTTAGGGTTAGAAGTAACATCAGAGCTCATGTGGGGGATGTTGATGCTGCAGCAGTTCCGTGTGGCTTTGGGCGTGCAATTGGTAATAAGGTATATCTTGTTTGTTCCAATAATACTATTGCTTTGCTTTTTTCCACATTTTGTATGTTGTACACAACCAAACCAAACCAGACAAAATTTCCATTGTTATAGCTTATACGGTTTAGTTCGATTTAAATGTTCAGAAAGCTGAAAAATGAAGTTCAGTTTGATTTCGGGTTCAAATGCCAAACCCAAAACTGAACCAAACTATATATACGTGTGTTGGCGCGCGCACTGTGACTGCATGTCCAACACGTGAAATTGTGTGCTCCTTTGTTTTTGCTTTTTTTTTTTCCCCCCTTTTATTTATAATTTCGGATACTGGGTGGACATGCCATGGACACACCAATCAGAAACTCAAACCGTTCAAGCAATTGCAACAGGACGATGGCATTGACAGAGGCAACGAGTGGCGAAATCTATCGGAGTTAGAGGGAGGGAGTTTGAACAAAGGTGGGGAGAGATGAGCATACTTGACATTGATTCTTCATGAAAACATCAATAGTGTGCTAGTGCAAGTAGTTGCTTCATTTATTTCCTTCTCAGCCCATATTATGTCTGTCATTGGAGTGTGAGCTTGGGATTGCCATGGGATAGTTGCAGTTTTATCTTCTGTAACGGTGGGAAATAAGCTAATTTCTAACAGGTGTTCTATATCATCTCCTTATCTTCTTGTTCTCCTTCAAGATCTTTGAGATGATAGTTAAAAAAAAGACATTTTATGGAATTATCTTGCAGATTATATAAGCTGAATATCTTGGGCAGGAGCACATAGATTATTGTGTGGATTAATGTTAAATGTATGGTCATTGCTGGAGATTCCGATAATTGTATAAAAGGTTCCTTTTTACCATATGTTTTGCGGTCTGTAATATCTCATTGTTGTAAATTTTGACATGATCAAAGGTTGTCTGACCAGGGGGCAGTTGGTTTAAGGATAAGAGTGTTTGACCGGGTGTTATGCTTTGTTAACTGTCATTTTGCTGCACATTTAGAAGCAGTCAACCGTCGCAATGCAGATTTTGATCGTGTATATCGGACTATGTGCTTCCAACGGCCATCCAATCCTTTTGGTACCGCAGCTGGTACAGTGTAGTGGCTGTTCTTATTTGCACTTGACTTCTTGATGCATTTGTCTTATTAAAGACCTGGTTTGCCATTGCTCCTTTCTTGTGCAGCTTGTTCTTCACCCACTGTTCAGACCATTCGCAGTCCAAATGTATGTGTATAATTAGTTGTTGCATGGTCCACTCAGTTGTTTAAATTACTTCCTACATTTCTTGTTCCTTCTTTTTATTTGGTGTGCAAATGATGGAGTTGTCTTTCACAGGCTTTTGTTGGGTCCTCTGAAGAAATGACACCCGAATTATCCGAGGCAGATCTGATCATTTTTCTTGGTGATTTCAATTATCGGCTCAACGGGGTATCATACGATGAAGCTAGGGATTTTATTTCCCAAAGATGCTTCGATTGGCTCAAAGAAAGGGATCAACTCCGTTCAGAGATGGAATCGGGAAACGTCTTCCAAGGGATGCGGGAAGCAGTGATTACATTTCCTCCCACATATAAATTTGAGAGGCAACTACAAGGATTATCAGGTAGCTTTTCGATGCTGTTCAGTGGTGTCTAGTTGAGTTTAGGGCTCGGTACAAGCTGCTCGAATACTAATTGCTCCTATTTGAGTTAAAAATGTGTCGGTTGCAGCTCTTCATTGCCTTGTGCCCCCTTCTTTTAGTGCTTGGATGCATACCATCTTGAAACGTCCTTAATAACGAGTAGTCAAAAATGAGAGGACCCACAGGTTCTATCATCGAAACCTGGCTTGGTTTAAAAGAGTTGATTCCTTGATATAAAAAGAAAGAAAATAAGAAGGGCAATTATGCTCATAGAAGGTTTTATGTTTCTATCCTGCAACATAGGTTACTTGCATCTTCTGATGGTCTGATATCAAATAAATTTTGCCTGTCTAATAGGGTATGATTCTGGGGAAAAGAAGCGTGTTCCGGCTTGGTGTGACAGGATACTATATCGTGATAGCCGATCATCTTTGGCGTCCAATTGCAGCCTAGACTGTCCTGTAGTCACTTCTATATCAATGTATGTTGTCGGATTTTAATTATCTTTCAATGTAAGGTATTGAATTAGACACCCGCACCCCCCAATGGAAATCAGATGCCATTTGTTTGCATTTCGTGGTACGAGTTGCAGGTGCCCCGACCCTCCCCTTTCTTTTCCTTCCCAGATTCCCTCCCTTAAAGGACTTGTAGAGTCCAGATCGACTAGTAGGCGATCTGGATTCTGTTTTATGTTTTTTAGGTTGTCTGAGTTTAGCGAATAGGGTAGCTGCTGCTAGCATGATTACATCCGTTGGTGTCTGTTTCCGTATGCTTTCCTTGTTTGGTATGCTGTAGTTGTGTAACAACCCAAGCCCACCGCTAGCAGATATTATCCTCTTTGGGCTTTTCCTTCCGGGCTTCCCCTCAAGGTTTTAAAACATGTTTGCTAGGAAGAGGTTTCCACACCCTTATAAAAAATGTTTCGTTCCCCTTCTCCAACCGACGTGGGATCTCACAATTCACCCCTTCTTCAGGGCCCAGCATCCTACCTGGCACTCGTTCCCCTCTCCAATCGTTACGGAATCTCACAATTCTCTTAGTTGTAAAATGAGAAAAAGATTTAGTATGTTTCTTATCAGGATCTTCTCCCCCTTTAATTGGAATGCTTTGATTTATGGGAGTACAATGATTTGGATGTAGAAATTGATTCAACCTCTTTTCCTTTCCATACAGGTATGAGGCTTGCATGGATGTGGTCGATAGCGATCATAAGCCCGTTCGTTGCATATTTGACGTCAACATTGCTCGAGTCGACGAGGCTATAAGAAGACAAGAGCTTGGAGAAATTCTTCATTCAAACGAGAAGATTAAGCATATGCTCGAGGCACTGTGCAAGGTTCCTGAAGTTATTGTCAGTACAAGCAACATACTTCTTCAACATGAGGATATATCTCTTCTACGCATCACAAATAAATGTGAGAAAAGCGACGCCATATTTAAAATAATTTGTGAAGGTCAATCTACAGTCCGAGTGAACGGGAAAGCCTCGGATCGTTATAGTCTAAGAGGTTCTTTTGGCTTTCCACGCTGGCTTGAGGTAACATTATTTATTGTCATTATTTACGGGACAACGGTTTCGACTATAACGAACAATGGGTTGTTTCTTGCTATCATATTAGGTCTCTCCTGCAACTGGAATTATCAAACCGAATCAAATTGTCGAGGTCTCAATTCGTCTCGAGGAATCCCACATGTTAGAAGTTGATGGTCGCCCACAAAATGCATGGTGTGAAGTCGCCAAAGATAAAGAGGTTATTTTGCTTGTTAAGGTGTATGGAACCTTTTCTAGCAAGTCGAAGAATCATCGTATCCGAGTACGCCATCGTGTTCCTCTCAAGAGCAAAGGAACCATTACCAAAACAAAGAGCTCTTCCAAACTTCATGGAAGCGTTCTTCATCGATCTGATATTCATCGTCTCGGCATGCCAAGCGATGTCTAATATGCATACCCCTTATCAACAGCCAAGATGGTATGTAAAAGCATGCTTTTGGTCTTTTTGAGAGAGTTCAATTCTACCAAAATCTTGATGTACATACCTGAGGAGGGGTCTCTTACCATTTTGTATCAGAACTCTTGCTGCTTTGATTTGTGTCAATAATGTTCATTCAACAACGATGTCCATTTCTGTATCTCTGTCTGTGTTGGGAATAAAAGGGTTTTGTTCAGATAGTGAGAATATGAATGTCTAGAGAACTCGGGTTCGGGTGAAGATGACTTTTCTTCTTTGCGGAGGTACGTGTCTTCTCGATTGCCTTGACCAATTACAGATCAGTCTGACTAATGGTTGCTTTGAACCGTTACACATCAGCTCAAATTACCTTTTTTCATTATGATGATAGGGGTGGATGGTAGGGCTATGAATATAGTAACGATCATAGCAATCTCCTCTGATACCTACAGGTACGTCAAGATCAATTGGTCATGAACATCGTAAGGTGCTGCTCTTCGCAAGTCCCAAGATATTGTTGGTTGGGATGGATAGACCTACCTACTAGTTCTAAGTGACAAGATCCATGAAAGAAAATAGGCTCGAGAGAGAACCTGTTTTCTTCTTCTTTGATATCGTATCGTATATATCATAATATAACCTATTTTTCAAATGTGAAAGTACCCTCTCTCTTATTTCCCCTCCCACACAAATACACACAAAATAATATTATCTCTTAAACAAAATAATTAGACTGTTTTGTTTCTTTTAATCATTTCAAGTCTTCTGCTCTATAATTAGACTTATTTTAATAATTGAGCTATCTCTGATCATTTCAGTCATCGGCTTTATAATTAGACTTATTTTAATAATTGAGCTATCTCGATCATTTCCGACACAACAGATTTGAACGGGTAACACAAGTATTTTCAATACTCCACTCTACAAATTGAGCTATATCGGTCATTTTCAACACATCAAACTTGTTTTAATAGCAAATTTGGACCGCTCTACCAACCATGGATATTCCATATTTTACAAAGTCCATGGCATTAAATAAAATTGGGAAAAAGTTTTTTTTTTTTAAACAAATCTTGAGAGTTAAAAATTTAAAAAAAAAAATTAAAATTAAAATATTCGATATTTTGTAAAATTTAGTCTCTGTAACATCACGATTTCAATTACATATATAATATTTGATTACTCACTCGAAGGTCACTTTGATTCTCGCTCTTCGAAAGTTCAGCCATGGGATTCCGTTGCGGCTTCATTTTCTGTCTCTTGATTTGTTCGTCTGTGGCTTTTCAATCCGACGAGCTTCTCGTTGATGATGACGAGTTTGAAGGGACGCAGCAGATTCAGTATACTGATGCCGCTCAAACCCGATCCACGCCTCCCCCAAGCCGTACGACATCGACGAGGAGGCGATTTTCTGATCCTGATTTGGATTCTAAGGTCCAGTTTCAGCTAGAGCACTCATTTGGGGATTCTGATTTCGCTCCTGCTGGCTTATTTACTGCACGTCTGAAGACTTCGAGCCATGGTGGTCAGGTGAATCTGTTTGTTTGATCTCCGTTTACTTGTTTTGTCGTGCTGTTTAGACTTCGAGAAATTTGGATGGTAAATTGAAATGGAAGAATTTGCACATGCCTTGATTGGTTGACCATTTGTCGTTCCTTCTAGTTAAATTTATTGTTCGTAAGATTTGCCATGAAAATCTTTGGTATTGAATAATCAACGAGCTTCCATAAAAGAGTGTCGCTTACACCTCATCTAGATGCTCCTTGCATCCTCAAAGAATTAGTAAAAAAATCGAGGCTACTATCATGGTTGTCTCCTTCATGGTGATTTTTCTGTATTAGCCGTATAGAGTAGTGAAACAATTAAACACTTGTTTTACTGCGTGGTCATGTGTTTTAGTGGTTCAGGATTAGGGGAATTTGGGGTAAGCCAGGTGCTTTTGAACGATTTCGTTTCTGATTTCAATCGGATTATTTTCCGTTGGATGTTGTTCAAAATGAGAAATGCGTCAGGGTTTTGTGTTGTGTACTGGTTTGCTTGCATCTTCAACTAGAAGGGAAAGGATATTGGAAGCCAAATTCAAAGGGGAGGCCCAGTTAGGGGCTATGTTAAATCTGTCAACTTCATTCTGGGCTGCAAATTTGATGATTTTCCACCGCAATATCTTTTATTGATGATTAGTTCATCGAAGGATATAGTATGAATTGTATATTTTCTATTTTCAAGTGTTGTCTTTTCTGACATGGTTTGTTGTTTATGCTTTTAATGATATGCAAATTCACTACTCATTCTTCTTCTGGGATCAATGGAAGCAATAAATTTAATTGTCCTTGAGTTTCTCTATTTAATGCTACAATTCAGTAATTCACTTCTCTTTATATTTTGAAACTCTTATGTTCAATATTTCGGTAATTGAAGACTTTTCTGTTTCTCTTATCCTAAGCATCCAAAATTATCAGCTATTTCACATGTTCATTGCAAATGACATGCTCTATTACTTTTGACAGTCACTTACAAAGCTGCGGTTTTCAAGAAATGTTTTTACTGACGAGGATAGGAAGAAGTTCACGGTAACAACTCCCTTATGTCTTGGTTATTTCATTTTGTGTATTGCTCGTACAATTCCCAAAATCTAGATTGAAGTTCCTTTTAATTTTTTTTTTTTTTTTTTAATGATTATCATTAATTAATTTTTGTAGGCCTTGTTGCAAGAAGATGGTTTCTATAGTGTAAGATTGACAACCAATGTTTTGAAGTCACAGGAACCGGGAGAGAGCTATGTTTACTCATCAGTGAAAGCAGTAAGTTAATTGCAGATTATTAATTATAGCTCATCATGGTCTCTATCCAAGGGGTGAGTATGGTGGCAATGATCAATCACAATCCAAGATGTCATAGGTTCCTGGGACTACTTATTTGGGTCACACGAGTTTTCTGGAAACAAATTTGTAGGGATACATCATGGTATCTACCTTTTAACCTAGCATTTCGGGATGGGCATTTAAAAAAATGATTTTGATATATTTAGTTATGTTGCTGCTTATTGCATTTGTATTTAATTTTATAGCGTTTTATAGCTCATTCACTTATCTGTAGTTTTGTTTATATTTTTCCATGCATTATTCTTCAGAGACATATTTGAAGTGGGCCTTCATGAGTCATGAGATAAATTGGAAAGAGTTGTTATTTATTTATTCCTTATATGTAAATAAGAGGAAAAGTGATAAGGAAAGTGATCTTTTTGAATTCTTCAGAATAATCGTTAGAGGAATTAAGGTTGTGAATTTCTGTGTATCAGCTGTTGATGATTCTTCTTCTAGAAGAGGTAGAGAGGGGTGAGAGCTGAATCCTAGCTAACCTATAGGACATTCGGAGGTAAATATAGGATAATTATTGAGAGAGAATCTGGAAGAAAAAAAAGGACAAGAGAGACCATGGGGATTGGTTTGTTGAATGGTGGGGCTGATTTTTAAAGAAAAAATAATATGAAGAGGTTTTTGTGTCTATTGTTGTAGTTTGTTTAGTGTAGGAGATTTTTTGTTTTTTTATTTTAGATTTATCATTATATTTTGTTGGTTTATGTTGGTGTTATTTTGATTTTGTTTTCAATATTGTTTAATAATCTTTGTTAATTATGAATTTATTATAACTAATAAATTTAGATCCAATTGATTGTTATGCCGCATAAACAAACAAAAAAAAAAAGTAAATTTAATTATTTATTATCACGTTAGCTTAAAAATACTATAAAAGTAATTAAGAAATGTCTTTTTTGTTTTCTGTAACTTTAGCTGATGAAAAACTGATGCTTTTGGACATACTTTGAATCTTCAAGGTTAAAGGTCACTATTTGATATGTAAGGCTAAGTTCCCTAATTTCTACTAAATGAATATCAAATTTATATTTGATCCATTAAATGTGCAAGTCTTGTCATTTCTTGCAACTCGGAGTCTATTCCCTGCTCTTTATCTTTTGATTTCATGTGCTTAGTTGTTGATGGAAGTTCTTATTTAACTCTGACTTTTCATTTTATGATTTCAGAGATGTCTTCCGCGAGGAGAATTGGATGAACATTTTGTGATTCACATGGTAAATCTCCACCTTTTGTTTCTTTCAAACATTATTGTTATTACTGTTCACTGACCTTTTCACGACATGAACTTTAATGTTTTAACATTCTATGGCTGTGCTTCCTTTACAAATTGGTTATGTAAATGTACATAATTTTTTATACATTTTTTTAAAATAACAAATATCTTACAAATTTCTCAATATCAAATTAAGTTTAATAATTGTTCTATGAAATTAGCTGAGAAGTGTGTAAATTGGCTCGCTCGGACTCTGATGGTTATCAAAAATAGAATCTAGGGTGAATTGGTTTAATGACAATATAGAAAACCTTTTCTGTTGCTTCAAAGTATATTGTCCTAGTGGGTTTGAATCCATATAGCTTAGTTTCTTACTATACTCATATTAAGATATTAGGTTTAGATCAGGCAAATTGTTCAACTTTCATGTTAAATTACCTATTTGGAATGAGGAATGAGGCTGGAAACATCCCGAAATTACCCTGCTTCTGCATTTTTATAACACTGCTAGTAAATTAGATTGCTAATTCAAGTGTTGAATGCAGTAGATTTTCATAATTAAAACTAAAGGTTTGCATGTTATACCTCATCATGCTTGACACACAAAAATTGGTGGGATGGATTTTTGTTAAACGTAATTTTGTCTGTATGATCTTAAGTTTTGGAAGCTGTGCTCCAATTTACGGAATTATGTATCAATAACAATGGTCAAATAAATGGGAGCGGTGAGAATAACTTCAATACTACTGAACAAATTTCAAGTAAAGATATTCACTTTCATGTGTCTGAACACTTTGTAAATGCATCATATCTAAAAGGTTCTCGTATCTAAAGCGCATCTTCTGCTGTTTTGCTTCCAGGATGGTGTTAATATTTTGGCTGTTAATTATGGCACCCCTGGAGCATGCCCTTTCCCCCGGCAACTGAGACTTGTAAGTATTATTTTGCCCTTGGCTTATCATTGGTTTTGTTTCCTCGTGATAACTACAAGCATCTCACCGTATATGGAGACTCCTGAACCAGAATTAGAGTCGCCAATTCATTTGAGCTTATGAAATCATCTTCTTGTTTACAAATGTATTTCATTTCCTCCACGGTTTCTTTATCAAAGTTCTCTTAAGCACATATGTAACAACCCTACACTAGATGAGGGGTTAACTGGACAACTAGTAGGATCATTGTTAATGATCAAGTGTTCTAGACAGAAGTAATTAAACCTTTTAATGTCTACAAGTTCATCAAGGAATCCATTAGATTAATGGAAGTACTAGCAAAAAATACTATAGGATGATCGTCTCTTTATAGCTTTCAAGATGAGATGCAATCAGTGGCGTTGCTTGTCTGAAGTGAGATGCAGTTTATTAACGTCTGGGTGAAAAGGTATGATTAAAATCTTACTTACTTGGCCCTAGCTTACTACTCCTACTAGGATAGTCGCAAAGGATGACTAAGATAGCTAATAGCTGCTCAGTGTCACGGTCATGCTCGTCCATGGGCATGTTGCCCATGGCCGCATGCCCATGACAAGCCAAACCCTTGTCATGTCTTTTCATTCTAGTGTTTTCCTTTTGTAATTCTAGGGCGTATGACGCCTAAAAAATATCATGTCTAGGCCTGCCAGAATTAAAATGACCCAGAATGTACTATAGGAGGATATGACTAGTCGTCAACTTCTCCCTACCCAAGGTTATATAGGAGGATATGACTAGTCGTCAACTTCTCCCTACCCAAGGTTATATATGCTAAGCTGTTGTTATCTTTCTCTTGCTTGCTTATATAACGTCTCTTTCTAAAATCTCTCTTTCTAAAATCTCTCTCTCTCCTCGTTTTCTAAAACCTTCTTTTAAAACCGAGGCTAGAGGCTCGACCGTACGTCGCTTGGCCGTAGGCGACGCAAGAACAAGTTGGCTTAACTCACTTGTCGCTGGAAAGTGAGTGCCGCACAATCGCTAGTCCGCTGCCTTCGAAAGTGCGATTGTGTCACTCAGCTCATATTGGCCTGGCCTTATTCAACTACCAGCACAGGAATGCTAGGGAAAATAGAAGCACTAGGATAGAGAGGAACAACGGACGATAAGAACCGTATCAGACCTTACATCTATCTATACTCCTCCGAGAGTTTGAGAAGCTAAAACAGCAAAGAACAAATTAGCTCTATCAAAGATTTAAGCCTCATTAGGTTTTCTTTTGTCAGTCATGCTCTTTCTCCGTCAGAGTGTAGATCGTGCTTAAGAGGAAGTGAATCAATTGACCATGGTTCTTCATTGTTATTTTACTGGCTTTTGTGGCGGGGATCCTAAGGATTTCTTTTTGCCTCCCTAAGGAGGTGGATCTATGACTTTGGGAAGGAATAAATGGGTGGAATTTTAATGGAAAAGTCAAGGTGGTGGGGAGTTGTGCCGTTAGAGCCCTCTCATGGCATCTTTGGAAGGAAAGGAATGCTAGAACCATTGAAGATAAGACTTTACGTTTTGATGGGGTTTGTAATCTTGCCCAAAATTTGGTTGTACCTTGGCTTTTTTGGGATATAGTCCTTTCACATTTCTTATCAAAACAATTATAGACAATAAGAGACATGATTATGATATATAATTAATGTTCTTGAACTGTGTTTTTTATTTGGTTTATACTTTCGATCACTAACATTCATGTGGATGGTCTCTCCTTCAGCCTTCAAAATGGTCTTTTAACTCCCTTACATTTTTGAAGAGCGGCGAGCAGGCTCCTAGGTAAGTCCGTTTTTACATTTATCCTTTCATTTCTCTCGTTGAGCCTAATTTTATTAGCTTGCCCGACTGCGTTTATGATGCTGTAATATGAATGTGTTCTTGAAAAGTGAAGAAGAGGTTATACATCAAATGACATAATTAACTTCCCATGAATTGGAGAAAAAGTTACATCTTCAAAGCCCCAAAAACGTTCCAAACACCATGGCTCTGTATTGAAAGCTTAAATACCTTTTCTAGTCACCAGCCTGCCTTTCAAACCTTGGACCACCAAAAACAAAACAAAATCTTCACAACTACTGCTTCTTTAAGGCTTTTTGATACTGCAACGAGCTCTTCTTTTATGCATTATCCTTTCCGTCTCAGATTGGCACCAAAATTATTCCGGATTTTTTTCAGAGAACCAGCACCCTCATTCCCTAACTTCGCTTTTACATACAATAACATCATCCAAATGTTCAAAATCTGGAGATGAATTAATTTTGGCCTTAGAAATCCTCATTTCTTTACTTTTACGTTGCTTAGATGAAGCAACTAAATGAGCTCTCCCTTCGCATCATCTTTATGGATTTGTGTGTTATGGATTGAGACGATAGGTTGTGTTGGTTTGCTGTCAAGTGCAGTCTGAAATTTAAATTTCTCTATACATTTCACAATTTGATTTTTGGTTTTTAGTTAGTTTTTTGGAGTTGGGCATGTTTTCACATTTGAATTCTTAGCCAAATTTAAAAAATAGAACAAGTCTTCTAAAACTACCTATTTTAGGTTTCTTGATGATCATTTTATTTTGGTTTTCGTTCTTCGAAAACTAAGCTTATAAACACTATTTTTACTTATAGTTTTCTTTTTGTATTACCTACTTTTTTTAAACGTTTTTTAAAATCAAGCCAAAAAAAGAGTAACTCTTATCAACATGGTTTTGTTTGTGTAATTTGAAAGTATAATTTTCAAAAAACAAAAGAGTTGTTAAATGACGTTATAATTTTTAAAACTTAACTTCCATTTTGAAAATGGTTATAAAGATAACAAAATAAAACGACCCAAGTGGGTGTAGTGTTTATAAACTTAGTTTTAAAAAATAAAAACCATAAACTTCTGGTTTTAAAACGGGTCTCGATTGCTTATCTAATGTCGTCTTGAATTTGATGAATACGATAACTATTATTTTCTCAGTACATCCTATACTCAAAGTTTAGATTATTCTATGGTTTTCACAGAACTCCTATATTTGCTGATGACATTCTTGTTGGTGAAACTGGAGAAGGGGAAGGTGTAAAGCCACCAGAAAAGTCATTTTGGGCCAAATATGTGAGTTTCAATGAAAAGAGAAATTATTCCATAGCCTTAAATTTTGATATGTTCTTACCGGATTTGTATCCCTATTATGGCAGTGGATGTACCTGATACCACTAGGACTGATTGTTATGAATGCCATAACACAAGCAATGAACATGGCTGAAGAACAGGTTGGTGGCCAAGCAGCAGGACAAGGACAAGCACAGCCACAGCAGTCAGCTGCTGCAATACAACGTGGACCAGGCTCGTCTACGGTAAGACGACGATAGAAACTGTTAGAACAATCGACAGGAAAGCACGCACCGACGTGAAATGGTTCGTTTTCCTTATAGTTTTCAACATAATGATTGGACTTAGAGAATTTTTTGGCGATGTATTTCTAACTTTATTGGCAACAGAAACTTTGTCAAAGTGCAGAATACTGTAAATCCCATTTATTTGTTTGACTGATGCTCAACTTTCATTTGAGACTCATGTTGGAATTTGTTCATTGAAGTATTTATGTTTTATTATGGAATTGAGAATGATACTGATTACCATTACCATGAGGTAAACATATGATATATATACCCCATGATATGCATAATGTTAGAAATGCTGGATAATAGTTGTAGCCACTAGAAGAGTTTTTCATAATTTTTTCCGTTGTCGAGTAAGGTTATTATCGTTGGATCTTTCCACAACCGTTGGATACGAGCGAAAACGGGATGGCTTCTTCATCCTTGTCCTCGAGATGGGGAGAGGCTAAATGTTATTAACAATAAGGCGATGGTTCTGAATTCTTGGTCTCTTTTATCTTTCTCGAGTTTCTCATCTAATATATGTATATAAAGCACATGGGCGTACACCAATACTAGGTACTATACCTAGTTAAGTATCTACTTCTAATACAAGTAATATGATATATATATATATAGATAGATAGATAGATCAGCCTATTATCTCCAGAGTAACTTTTAGCCTTTGCACTCGAGGGCCAATCTCCGTCTGGTCCGAGGAAACCTTTGCATGCCTCCGCTACCTTCTGAGAGTCTATGCCCCATAGGAACGATCTACTTGAGACTGTCCCTTGGCCCGTAGGTCCTGACACAAGGTTAGAATTTTAGCTCTTCCAGAGTGGTATCTCACTGATGGCTCGGGCCCCTTCGGAAGGGGGCCTTCTTCGCTCTCCACCTAAGCAATGCAAGAAAGGCCCAAAGCCAATCCCTATATATATATATATAGATAGATAGATATATTTTGATATATTGTATTTTATGCTGACATTATAATGTCTATTATTATGCCCAAAGGTCATACAACCACTTCAATAGTTTTACAATTCCCATAGAAGTCTGGATCATCCTATTGATCATAATGAAAAATAATTATTAAAAATTTAATGGTAGCTATAAAGTACTACAAATATATATTAAAAAAAATAACTCAAATTAACGATAAATGGTTGTGATATATGTAAATAAAAATTATTTCGAATAAATAGTATCAAATAAAAAAGAAATAATTTTGAATAAAACACTCAAAATATACTGAAAAGTAAAAGTGAAAATAATTCAAATAGATTTGGAAATATTTATGCTAAAAATTAATTTAATAAAGAAATTATATATATATATATATATATATATATATATATAATTATTTATTTATTTTAAAAAAATCCAAATTCTGCGTACCTACCACGGGACAAAAACGGTAACCAAAAAAAGAACGTGAGGAAAGCCAAATGTCCTTTTCAGGCAGCATGCTCTGCGACTTATATAACTGTGTGGCGGTTTCCTTTTCAACTCTGTCACTCTCCCTCTTCCCTCTTCAAACCGGTACTCAATCAGCATGGCGGCCGCCGTACCGCTTTTCCCGGCTTCCGTTAACGCTTTCAAGCCTCGCTATCCAGCAGTTGCCTCTAGAAATGTCTTCTCTGAAACTTTGATCGGCGAGTACCGGAAAGTGCAGAAATGGAACCGTTTCGAGCTCCAGAGGTCGCAGGTCTCTTCTGCTGCTGCTAATGGCGATGCAGTGACTGTAAGCGACTCTTCACGTTCCGCCATTCGTTCTTCGTAAGTGCTCGGGAAAAGTCCAGTTCTACTTTCCTTCGATTTCGTTACTTCTTGTTCATGCTTTTCATCAGTGTCTTTTTTTTTTTTTTTTTTTTTTTTTTTTTTTTTTTTTTTTTTTTNTGAAGGGAGGGAGTCGGAAGCAAGTGGTGGCGCATCAATCAACATGGAGGCGTGCAATTGAGGTGAGGAATCGTAGATTGAGAGAGGGGTAAAGAGAGAGTTACCTTGTGTAGTGCGAGGGTCTGCGAGCAGTGAGGAACAGAGTGGGATGAAGGAGGTGGAGGGATCGGAAGTGCGGAAGAAGGGAAGTGAGTGATTTTAGAAAGCCAACGCTTCTCCCTTCCGATTCATTCCCAAAATTACTCAAAACTCAAAACGCTTCGGAAATTGCCAACGACGACACAAATTACACAATTTCTTAGTTTTTTTTTTTTTTTTTTTTTTTTTTTTTTATTCCATTGGTTATTCGTTTATTGAAACAAGTATTGGCCGCTTGGTTGCTTCACTGATCATTTTGATTTTTGACGTTTTTTAAAGATGTTAGTTAATTTAGTGGCGAGAAATGTTCATTAGTTTCAATCACCTTTCTTTGTGTTGAAAATTATTGGGAGGGAGTTGCACGTTGGCTAATTCCAGGAATGGTCAGGAGTTTATAAGTAAGGAATACATCTCCATTGGTACGAGGTCTTTTGGGGAAGCCGTAAGCAAAACCATGAGAGTTTAGGCTCAAAGTGGACAATATCATACCATTGTGGAGATTCGTTATTCCTAACATAGTATCAGAGTCATGCTCTTAACTTAGCCATGACAATAGAATCCTCAAATGTCGAACAAAAAAGTTGTGAGCCTCAAAGGTGTAGTAAAAAAATGACTCAGGTGTCGAACAAATGATGTAGTTTGTTTGAGGGCTCCTAAGAAGGAGTCGAGCCTCGATTAAGGAGAGACTATTCGAGGGCTCCATAGGCCTTAAGGGAGGATCTATGCTGTACTTCTTTGTTCGATGGGAGGATTGTTGAGGATTGTTGGATGGAGTCCTACAAGAATACATCTCTATTGGTACGAGACCTTTTGGGGAAGCCCAAAGAAAAACCATAAGAGCGCATGCTCAAAGTGGACAATATCATACCATTATGGAGAATCGTTATTCCTAACACTTCGTTCTTTCCCCCTCTAAGAAACGGCTATTTGTTGATATGTGGAATTTACAAAAGAGAGGGCTAATGGGTTTAGAGAAAAGATCTCCAATTGACTGAAATAAAGTCATTACATAGTTATTTGTGTTTTTTCTTTTGAGAAGAGAAACGAATGTCACTCTTGACGTAGCTGTTTGTGTACAAAGCAGTTTGATGAGCATCGAGTTCATTTTCACCCATCTATTTCTCAAATTTTTAAGTATTTTATTGGAAATCCTTTTCATCTAACTCTTGTTTTAGCAGGCCAAAGTTTTGTTTCAAAATGTATTTTGACGGATCATCACATATGTAGTTTTGTCCATCTACCTTTATTTTTTCTGGCTAGCCTCTTCATTTGTTTCATATCATGACAAATCATTGCTTGTTAATGCAATCTGCACGCCACACCAATATCAAAGCAACAGTGTCAATGACTTGTTCAATCAAAATCAAAACTTTTAGATCATAGTTGGAGCTTGTAACAATGTCCAAAGTGTTTCTGTATTCTTTTTGCTTTCAGGGTGATGCGACATGCTATATCTGTGTTTGTTGGTGATGAAAGTGGAATAATAAACCGAATTGCGGGTGTCTTTGCAAGGAGAGGTTACAACATTGAGTCCCTTGCTGTTGGATTGAACAAGGATAAGGCTCTCTTTACCATTGTTGTCACTGGAACAGAGAATGTCTTGAGACAAGTTGTGGAGCAGCTAAACAAACTTGCCAATGTTATCAAGGTTTTGTTGATTTTTCATACCATCTTTCTTTATTTTGGGAAGACGTATGGGCGGGTGGGCAATCTTTTTGCATTCAATTTCCGTGTCGACAAAGGGGATTGGTGTGTGATAGCTGGGGTAGTAGTTGTTGGTCTTGTAAGAGCATTACTAGAAGAAATTTGAGGATGTTGAAGTAAGGGAGTTTGCTGCCAACAGAAAGAGAACATTCATTTACGAATTGAAGTCTGATCTAGAGGTGTAGAGGACTGTAGAACTTCGTACTTGAAAGACGATAATCATAGTTATGTTTTGGTTCCGTTAGTAAACATAGTTGATCAACGCGGGTTGACAAGATTTTGTTAGGTTTTGATTCAGTGTTGTCGAGCTACGATTTTCCCTCCTAAAAGCTAGTTAAGGAGAGCTGATGCTCTCAAGTTCTCAAAGAATACCTCTGAAAGTTTTTATTGGCTTTTAAGGCAAAAAGGACAGCCATATATATAGCCTGTCACCAACAATGGACTGTAGCAAATAGGTTATCCAAATAAAAGACCTAACTACCCTACGGTAATAGTTTTTATGGAAGCTACTTGAAAGTAAAAGACTTCATCCAGCATATTGTTGAGGATTGAGGATTATTGGGAGTGAGTCCGTTAATTTAGTGGAAGATCATGGGTTTATAAGTGAGGAATACTATCTCCATTGGTATGAGGCCTTTTGGGGGGAAGCCCAAAGCAAAGCCATGAGAGCTTATGCTCAAAGTGGACAATGTCATACCATTGTGGAGAGTCGTGATTCCTAACATGGTATCAGAGCCATGCCCTAAACTTAGCCATGTCAATAGAATCCTCAAATATCGAACAAAGAATTGTAAGCCTCGAAGGTGTAGTCAAGAGTGACTAAAGTGTCGAACAAAGGGTGTACTTTGTTCGAGGGCTCCAGAGAAAGGAGTCGAGCCTCGATTAAGAGGAGGCTTATAGTGTACTTTGTTCGAGGGGAGGATTGTTGAGGATTGAGGATTATTGGGAGTGAGTCTCACATTGGTTAATTTAGTGGAAGATCATGAGTTTATAAGTGAGGAATACTATTTCAATTGGTATGAGGCCATGAGAGCTTATGCTCAAAGTGGACAATATCCATACTATTGTGGAGAGTTGTGATTCCTAACAGACTAAACAAGAAACAGGGCTACTGTTTAAAGAGCCTCAAAATGGTCTGAAGTGATGTGCACCTGCCTATACATCGAAATCTCCTCCCAACCTCCCTAAGCAGAAACATTTCAATTCTGGAACTCCTGGGTCAAATCCCTGATCTAGACCAAGAGAATTGGTCTCCCTTCATAGGAGGTTCAAACAGCTACAGGTTATCAATAAGATTGTTAAAGGACCTCCTCCCCTTAGTCATCCTATTGTTGTAAGATTTCTCGGAGACCCATCTAACCATGTTAAAGTCTCCCCCACTACACCAGCAATCTGCACAAAGCCCTGTAACATCGTAGATATTTTTTTACCTTGAACCAAAGAATAAAAGGTTAGTGAAGAACTCTTTAGATATTTCAATTATCAGGTGGAAGATATCTCAAGAAAGCCCCAAGTGGAACGCGAGTTGGTGCTTATGAAACTCAATGCTGATCCAAGTACTCGTGCTGAGGTGACGACTTGCATTACATTTTTAATGGTCATTTTTACATGCTTTGTAGAAAGAACCATTTTTGTATGAATAAGATACAGGGTTTTAAATTCTAATTCTTGTTTCTGTTTGGGAAATCTTTTTAAAGGATTATATTCCCCCTTGATAGGACCTCTGATTCTCCTTTCCTTAGTCTTAGAAGGCGGCATGGTTTCTCATAAAAAAAACACCTAATATCTTTAGTTGAAGATGTTGAAAACTTCCGATTTTCGTTACATAATCAGCTCTAATTTTTTATTGTCTTATGCCTCTATCTTTTTTTGTTTCTCAGATAATGTTGTTGGTAGACATCTTTAGAGGAACAATTGTGGATATTTCAGAACATTCATTGACTATTGAGGTGACTACTTTCAGATCCTTTCAGAACATTCACTTATCATTGAGAAACGCATGCCAATATCTCTGAACTATTTTTTTCTCTTGTTATTTATATCAACTTTGCCATCTTTTTTAATGTAAAATTATTGTTTTCTTAGTTAAAAAATTTATACTTGCAAGTCTGAGAGATGGAATATTCTTAGTTAGTAGCAAAAAGTTGAGAATAGTTACTTACCATGGATGCTAGAAGTTGTCTTGCAAGAGATTTAACTGAAAGAAACTTAGTAAATATTCTGTTCACTTTATCTACCGTATTATCCATAAAATGATTAAAGTATGTACATCGTACAATTGAAGTCATTGTTTTGCATGGCCTACGTTCGATTTATTAGTCGTCGATTAACGAAAGGTTTGTTTTTTCTTAATGTCATAAGGTGACCGGAGATCCTGGAAAACTGGTCGCCGTTGAAAGAAACTTCAGGAAGTTTGGAATTAGAGAACTTGCCAGAACTGGAAAGGTAGAGATATACATTTGTTCCATTTTTTTTCTTCTGAAAGACGCAAGGTATGGTCAAAGCTGAAAGTTATTATAAGTTGAGCAAGTTGACACATTTTGTTTCAATCTGTCTTGACACGTGGAAATCACTACAAGGGGAGTAAGATTCGGATTATCTTGTTGAGCGAATATCTCAAGGCAAGAACACTTGTTTGAGATTCGAATCACTCCACAAGCAAGATCGATCATGTCTAGCTTGAATGATTCTTGTTGATCAAATATCTCAAGACAAGAACACTTGTCCGAGATTCGAATCACTCCACAAGCAAGATTGATCACGTCGAGCTTGAATGATTCTACATGCAAAGAAACTTAGTCATTGGCTAAAAAAAAAAAAAAAAAAAAAAA